TGCCCTCCACATCTACAAGGACCAGTTTCATTTAAAAAGCAACTGTTGGCAGTTTACCTCTACCTAATTTATTCTCTGGCTCTGGTCAGGTACCCAGTACAGGTATCCAGTAACAGCTATACCTGTAAATAGCTGTCCGAAGCTAAGATGGATACAGAATTCAGAAACGTCAGGAAAGTCATTAATTGAGCAATGACTTTGTTATTGTATAGTAACTACAACCCCCTTTTTTACAAACAGACATGTCTAATCCGTCAACCTCTCGATTTCACTCATATTGTGAATAAGACACTACACGTGTATTAACTTCAATACCCTGACTAGTTCATTGATTTAAATTCATGGCATAAAATTAAGCACATATGGCAGTCACAGTCACAAGATGAATTAAGCACCTGCTAAGAACTGAGGCATTATTCAGCACTTAAACTGCCTCTAGTTTAAGTCTTGTTTGAGAGAAAGCTACAGTAACTCATTCTCTTCCATGCTGAAGAGAACAGAAAATAGAAAAAGCAAAAAAAGACAGAAAAGAAGGAAAAATGAGGGAGAACTGAGTTACAGAAGTGGATGACTATGTAGTTCAGGCTTTTTCCATTTGCTGGCCTGGACCTCCTTTCTGGTCCATTATGCAAATCAGAGGAAACAGTGTGGTGGGAAAGATCCCACAAGTTGCTGGAAAAGACAATACCAAAAGGAAATGTCTTTCTTGGTTAAACAAAAGTGACCTAAAGGAAGAAGACAGGTAAATGTTGTCCTTGCTCACAAGCTGACTTAACCATCCTAGTTTGCCACTTGCTAAATAATAACTTCTCATTGAAACCCAAGGTTTGATTTTATTATGATGTCACATGGTACTGCAATTCTTTCACCTTCCTTAACCTTTACTCATTATTATGGACATTCTACTAGTCACGTATATATGAAAGAAGTTTTAGCAACTTGTTATGTTTTACGGGGCCTTGAACTGCTTTGAGCATTATAAAAGAAAGTAGCATTCAACAGGACCCATTCTAATTTTGCAGCTATAACAGTTAAACATTCTTTATTCCAACTGCAATGACATATGCTTATTTCTATTGCAGTTAATGGCAAAATCTTGACACACTAGAAAGTAGTAAATTGAATTTTAGGATAGTCATTCTACAAAGTTTTTTGAAGTTCAACTGCAAAATGATAAAATTTACAGGTAAAAATACCTGTCAGTAAAGTTTCAGGTTGTGTCACCTATCACCGCTTTTTCTTCAGAATAAAATATACTTTTGAAGTTCAACAATGCAATAAATAACACATAAAATATAAAATTGTTTCAAAATAAACAGAAGTACTAAAAACATTCTTAAACCTCTGATCAGAAGCACTTTGCTGAACTGCGGATATTGCCATAAACATTTGGACCTGTAAACAAATATCACAAATAAGTAGGTTGAATTCTCAAAACTTCCAAACATCTCAGTGTTTGTGTGCATATTTTTTCCTCGAGGCCACCAAATGAGACATCTGATATTCTTAAGGCATTGCCATTATTCAGAAATTAAAGTATTGCAAACAAAATCAGAAGCAGCTCCTGAATGCGTAAGTGAAAGCTTGTGAAAATCTTAAACACAAACAAAACATATGTGTGCAACTGAAACCTGCTGAGTGCTGTCCCTTTGTGAAGGCCAAACAGGAACTCCTGGATTTGTTAAAGCGCTGGAAATAAAACCGCAAAAATAGAAACTAATTCTGGTATCAATTCCAACAAAAAGCAAACCACTAATCAAATAGGTTAACTGGTGGGATTGTTAAATAATGATTACTCCTATCTAGGGGTATCACGTGAATTATACAAAAAGTAAGGCTGAAAGTGAAATCTGAAGTCATCAAGTTCACATCCATGTTCTGAGGCAAGACCAGTATGTCTAAACTGCCTGCTTTTAAAAATTGCCAAGGACATTCTTTCCACAACGTCGCTCAGTGTTCTGGTCCAATGCCAGCTATCCTCCAAGAAAGAAAGTTGTTCTTAATATGTTGTTTACACTTCTGATAAGCCGATTACTTCTAATTCCAAAATTTGTGAACAAGATTGGAGTCTAGATTACAGACTCATTTTACATGTGAAGAGATTGCTATCATGACTCACCTCCTCTTCTTTGCTAAGCCAAACAAACTAAATTCTTTCACGCTTTCCTTGCAGGTAATATTCCTTAGCATGTGTTGTCTGGATTTTATTCAGTTCTTGGTATCTTTGTATCTTTCTTGAGGATGATCAAAATGTTCCAGCTCCTCAGTGGCAGTAAAATGAGATTATCGTCCTTTTGATACTCTGTTCACAAAGCTCATTATATTTGCCTTTTTTTGTACTGCACTAGTGACTAATATTTATGCTGTAATTCAATATAATTATTCTGCCATATTGGTTTTGGCAGTTATTCTGTAGTTTCCTACCCCACAATTGATTTTCCTTCTTATGTGCAACTTCTTTGCATTTTAGTTCTTAATTTTACTGATTTTTATTTACTTCAACATTTTTTCAGTATAATTTTGAATGGTAATCTTACCATTCTCAAGAGCTTGCAGTCATCCAGAAGTTAGAGCAGGCTGAATTGCACGTGCTGTTCCAGTAGTGTAAAAGCACAATTTATCTTACTAGTGTACTTCTTTTATTCTATCAAATAATTCATTAATGGGAATCGGAATACCCTAAACACGGGACTATCCTGTTTGGGATGCCTCTTGATATTTCCTCCTGGATCAGAAATTCAAGTTTAAAGACAAGTTCAGTGTCAAACAGTTGAAAGCCCATTTTATAATTTCATTTGGATGTGCTTTTACTGAATTGCATTTGATTTTTTGGGTTTTTTCGGTATATCAAGTTAATTTAACATTTAAATTCTTCCCTACGAATCACTTGTAAATTTCCTAACTTGGCATTTAATTGACATTCTCTACTTCATTACTGATGTTACTGAGTAGCATGAACCCTTGACAGACTCTCCTGCAATCCCACTTGACAGCTTGGTGGTGAACCACTGAGAACAATCTTAGCCTTTCATTGAATAGATAAAATTCAACCAAGACTTTGACCACGCTTGCCGGTATTGTCAAGAGTGGCTCACCCAAGAGCAAAAACTAGAAAAGAATTACCCAGTATGAGTAAAGCAGCAGGTAAATTCTGATAGCGAGGATTAAAATGAACACCTCTCTGGGGCAGAGATGTCTAGGATCTCAGCAAAACGTTTTGCAAATCTAAGCCTAGAAATGGAAAGCTTGAGGAAAAAAAGATGCAATTTTCTGGTTGGACGGGCAGACTTTCAGGACATTGTATCAGGCACATAGATCTTATCTGTCTCAGAGTGCTTCCTGCTTGAAAAGTTATGCACATTGTGTTGGTGTATTTTATTGCTCTCCAGATTCTATTTACAGTCAGAATTCCTTTCTCCTGTCATATCAGGATGCAAGCAATTTTCTAATCAATCCTCCAAGCCAAACAAGACCATAATTTTCCATAAGAAAAAGAAAGTTCCTAGAACAAACCCGAATCAGAAATACAAAAACTTTGTCTTGCTTCTATTGTCCCATAATTCAGCTAGCTGCATTCAGACAGGAGGGTAAGGGGGTAATGTTTCCTTCTGCCACTGTTTCTTTCTGTCCGAAGTTGGTTGCCGTCATGAAATATCTGTGCTCTACATATCACACATTTATTTGATAAACTGATACAACAGAATCCTGGAATGCTGAATATTACTAAGTTTCAAATTACTGCAGGTTTCTGTTCCTAATGCACAAAGAAAATTAAGATTTTGAATAACAGTTTGCAAGGCGTGTGCTTTTTGAGCAATTACTCCCTAGCACATATAATACTGAAAAATTTCTCGTTTCTTTTTCAGAACAGACTTTGTATATCAGCCATCTGCCTGACTTTAGCCATCAGCTACTACTGAAGCATGGTTTCATCTTTCACTAAAGGATTAGCCCATGCCATTCTCATCTGATATAGTCTTGCCCATCCATATATTTAACACCTTATTTTTAAATGTCTCTTTCCTGGTTATAACACAGAGATTATTATTCTCAGAGGTGATGAGGAGATGATCTGTATGGGTATGAGGGGAGCATTCCATTAAATCTTCCCATAAGCCCTGAAAGGGATATAAACTCTCTTTGTTGTGGGTGCAGTTGAATCTTTTCTGTTCTCTTCTTTCGCCAGGAAGATATGAGTGGCTGGAGTGTTTGATTCTATATATAACTAGTTGATGTCAGCTGGATGCCAATCCCTTTGAAGAGGATCAGCCCCCAGTTTGTCTCGGTACTAGGTACCATGCAGATCCAAGCACAAGGGTAGAAACCATCCTGGACCAGGCAGGTCATCCCCATGCATAACTAACTCCTGAAGCTTCAACTAAAGGGTTGAGATCGCTTTTTTCTGCACAACAAAACAGTAGGGTAAGTGTACTGTTTCCTGAAATATTTTGACATTGTCTGTCCTACAAGCTGTCATATAAAAGACATTTATGTAACCTCTTGACTCTGCAATTAAAAAGATGTTTATTTTTTTTACGTAGTCAGAAATGCGCTTTCTTTAAAGATGCCAGAGCATCTCATTTAGTTCCTCAAATTCTTTATTAAGAAATGTCAAAATGTAACATTTCTGAAATCATAAACCAAGATGTAATTAAAATGTTATTAATGTACATCTTTTAATATAATGTGTAGATGCGAGAAGGCCTAGACCACTAATGATGATTTTGCTACAGAATTTATGTAGCCAACTCAAAGTCCACTCCTTCAAATCTTATACCCATCAGACCACGTCCTAGCATCTGTCTGCAAGCAAGAACTGCCATTGCATTTTGCACAATTAGAAGTGCAGTATTTCTAAAGCAGAAATAACTAACTTCACTATTCAGCCATTCTAAACAGGCTAATAGAAATTAAAGCTGGCCGAATTGCACAAGCTGGCTCAACAATGTAAAAATGTGTTGTTTTTTTTCAGCAAGGAAAAATCGTAACAGAAAATCACAATGTTATCACATTCTGCCATGGTCAAAGAGAGGAAACAACAAGCGTCAGCCATTATGGATGAAATACACAGAAATGGTATAGCGCTGAACCCAGCTTACTGTATATGCAATGTCCTCTAGCCCTCCCTAATATTTTTTTTTTAATCATAGAGTTTAACTCTCTTACAGCTTTGTCTCTGGGTGTTTTGCCATAAATAATCTTGTGGGAGTATCATGCTGCCTATGGTAACTAATCCTTTTGTAGTTGCCTCTTTTCATTTGAAAGCTATTTTCAGATGAACAACTGCTGTGGAGGAATGAAGTAATCTAACAGCTGATGTACATTCTGCTAGGATAGCCTTTCAGAATATTATTTGGGGTTAATAACATGACTTCATTCCATTTTAAAAGGCTATCATTGAAGAAACATGATGATCTGTATCCTCTTTTTGTGCTCTGTTTCACTGCTTTTTTTATATGAATGATAAAAAATTTTGAAACAAATGTTTATATCTCTGTTCCTTCCTCTCAAACTTTATCTTTGTAACTAACAAATTTTACTAGCATTTGGCAATTCTCTCTAATACAGAGCCACCAGTTAATCTTATATGAAGAAATCTTTTCTGTTATTGCACTGATGAAATGCAGACACTTATGAGAAGGTAGTTTGGGTAATGGCTTTAAACTGCAAGAAGATAGGTTTAGATTAGATATAAAGAAGAAATTCTTCACTATGAGGGTGGTCAGGCACTGGAACAGGTTGCCCAGAGAAGTTGTGGATGCCCCATCCCTGGAAGTGTTCAAGGCCAGGTTTGATGGGGCTTTGAGCAACCTGAACTAGGGGAACCCAAACCATTCTATGATTCTATGATTTTCTAAACCAGGTTCTTAAAATTATGCTTCTGGTGTAACACTTGAAGCAGCAATTAACTCAGTTGGGAATACAAATCGGCTTGGCTTTCTTTAGGTATGTGCTGGCTGCTTTTGGAGATCCTTCCAGCCCTTCCATGAAGCCTTTTTTACCATCTATGTAAAAGATCAATGTTTTAAAAGTGATAAGTACCCCACAAGCCTCACTTAAAAAACAGGGATCTCCAACATTTAGAATTTATCAAAATAATACCACTCACAGAGGATAAAATGCTGAACATTAAATTCCAGTATTGAAAATCTGGTGGGCTTTTGCTCTCAAGAATTTGTGGATGGTTTCTGTACTCATTCACTGACCATTGTGATTGCAGGAAAAGCAGGACAAGATATATAAGATTTTTAGAAAAAGAAACTACAAGTTTCAGTGCCTGGTTATTTCTATAGTCTGTTTCTGTAATTTCTATTCCTAAGCAAATACCTCTTTCCATCCTCCACTGAACACACATTAAGTCTGAAAGCTAGTCTGCCTTTACAGATTTTATTACAGGTTTTTTTTTTTTGGTATTGTAAACTCAAATACTGTATGTGCCTGAAATAGCCTATAAGCTCTTCAGGGCAAAACCCCCTCATCTTTCATGTTTGTTTGGACCAGGCATTTCATATGGTAAATGTTGCTACTATTCATACCAATACTAATAAATCTACCATACAGTCCTTGAAATCACTGGAGTTATTGGATAATCTGTGCTGATGCTTGGCATTTGCCTCACCTAATCTGTCCTTTTTATTATTTACGTATTATCAGATTTGCTGTCAAGTTTAGATTCATACACATAGATATGACAGCTTATCCTACAAGATATGCTGTGGTAGGTGGCTGCTGAAGGCAGTAGTAACTCTTTAAGTGTACATTCTACTTTTGCGTCTTCTTTGGATGCCTGGGCTATTTAAGTGTTGAAAAAAAAGAAGCTTTCCTGAAATGGGTGTGATAAGAGTCTGAAACATGTAACTGTACAGGCTCAGTGAAACCAGTTACAAAACAGAAGGATAATCAAAGCTGTAATCACATGAAGTATACGTCAGTTCTTTGGGCCCATATCTAAACAATTCTTGGAAAAATCAAGGAGAAATCTGTTTTTTAAATTACTAAATTCAGCTCTATTAATTTTTGACATGTTATTTTTCCCCTAATCGTTAATTCACCAAGCTTAACCTGACATCTGGAGGGTGAACTGCTGTCTTGCTGGGTTTTGCATTGCTATTAGTAATGAAGGTCCTGCACCTGCTAATTACGTAAAAAGTAAATGTACTGTTTCAGGCAGTCTCACAGACCTATGAAACTCCCCACTGTTAACAAACGTAAACAGTAACAGAAGATTCTGTAGCACAAGCCCCAGTAGCTTGGAATGACACACAGAAAGCACACCTACTGTGTTATTTCAGCCCCTTGTATTATAATGCTTTCAAGTAAACAGCAAATCTCAAATTCCTTGTTATAAGATATTCATAGCAGAAACAGTTGTTGGTAAGATAAAAAAATCAGCTAAGTTTTTATGAGTGTCTCAAAGATTACCAATCTCTGGGCAAGACTAGTAACGACAAACTCCACAGCTCCTGTTGGCTTGTGGGACACAACTGTGTTTCGGAGAAGTTCGACACATCATAAAATGTTTCAGGAATAGACAGTAACTGTAAACTCTCTTACAGTCTCAGAAGAGACTGTAGCAGCAAATCAGCATGTAGGTATAGTGATCTCCCCAACCCCTTGTTTTTTCACTGGCAGACTTGGACTAATCATGACATTTTGAATGCTTCTTGGTAGAGGTAAATATGTATGTAAATACATGTGTTTAAAGAAGCCTTTGGAGTTCACCAGGTTAGCCTTCAATTACACTTAAATCTCATGTCTATATAGTTCCATACTATTTTGTAAATGCATTCTTCAGTAGCTATGTGATTAACTGTCTTTCATGATATAGTTAAAAAAAATCTTATTTCTGATATTACAACAAATATGCTATCTGATATTTGTTATTAAAATTTATAATCCAGATTAAGGTATTTAGAAGATTGTAAACTGGAGGATTAAAAAGGGATTAGGCAGTGAATGCAGGAGGAACTATATAAACCATATTTAAATAAAGTTGGTTATGATTTTAAGCACAGGGCAGGAAGGTCTTGGCAGGAACAGATTAAGAAATTAAACTAAAAGGTTAAGATTAGGATTAAACTATGAATTAAACTTCCAGTATTAATTTAAATTGTTCATCTATGACATTGATGTTCTCTTTCTATCATCCTCTAAATGTCCTCCTTTTCTCATTCTTCATCACCTTTTCTGCACTGACACTGAAACAATCCCTAGACACATCATAAAACTAGACAGATGATTAGATTTTAGTTGGCAAGAGATTCAAATCAACTTCACACTTATGTTTTTGGGATGCTGCCTGGATACACAATAGTACACAACTGTGGGTTACAAAGTACCTTGGAGCATTCAGTTAACATTAACAAGAACAGTACATATATAAGGGAAAAACAAGGCCCAAAATAGTTAACATCCAGCATGTCCCAGAAGAATACTGAGTGGTTTGGACAGAGATCTGCAATCACCTTGGCACCCCAGTCTCTGAGGATGTACATACTACCCACTCTGTGTACAAGGAAAAAAAGCTTTTTCTATGTGAAAATGCTGCTGGTTTGAGGGGTAAATTTCTTACTCCTTACTAATAAAAAAACATCCAGAAGTCAGTACCCCTGAAATAATCTTGAGAAATTACAAAAATCAAAATATGACTTGTGGGTCTAAATTTCAGGCCACAGGCCAATAACCAGTGCACTTATCTCAACCACAGAGCCAAAAACCCACCACTATCTGTCACTGATATGGCTACATTGGGCAAGCTGAGTCATTTTCTTCCATGTTAAGAACTCTCTGTTTTGTAGTTACCTCTTAAATAACAGGAGGGTGTTAGGATTCTTTGCGCATACTATTTTTAAAGCAGAAGTGCATGCTCTGGCTCACGATACAGTTAGCTTGCTCTTGCTCCAGTTAAATCTATTGCAAACATTCAATTGAAATCAGTATGAACAGAAGTGGATCAACAGTGATGCACTCCAGAGCCCACAAACTTGTTTGATTTACTACATGGAAAACTCTTGTCTATACAGCTTCAGCTAAATATTTAATATGCCCGTCTCAAGTTTTCCTAAACGTCAGCAAATCACACTGTTTTTCCAACATAAAGTTACTGGGGGACATATGCCATGTTTAACATGCCATTTACTCAAAATGGAACTCTGCATACGCAATATTGACTCTGACATTCAGTACCTTCTGCAGTTAATTAATTTGTAATATTAATTTTAAACTGAGCTTCCTGTGTGCTTACTCTGGAAGCTAGATACAATGTCTTATATATAATTTGCTTTCTTTTCATTTTAATGTATTAAAATATATGTCAAAGTTCATTATTTTAAATCCTGTAGACCGTAAGAATATGTGAAAAATAGTGGTTTATTATTAAAGAAGTAACAGAATGTGACTTCAAATAAGTGGATCAAAGAAACATACTAGACCATTGATATAATCCCCAAAGCACACTGCATCATCCTATTTTTCTTCCTGAAGTTTATGAACAACTGAGGACAATTTAAATCAATAAAATAATAAATATTTAAGTGGCAATAGGAAGTATTTTCTTAAGAATTCTGTTTTTACTATGCTATCAAATTATTGTTATATTTGTTAAATCCTGAAACCTTCTAAGCAGAAATAAATTAGTAGAAAGTAGTTTGTTCAGTGTTGAAGTTACTGTATTCTAAGGTTTAAGCTTTATCTATAGGTTGAGGACATCTAGTGAGAGAGCTGTCACTAAGCAATAGCTTGCTCATTGCCACCAGCATCCCAGTTTCCAGAACATTACCACAAAGATGACCAGTAGAGTTTCTGGTATTTAGAGTTCTCCATTTACAGTCCCAACTGATCTCCCCTTCCCCTGCTTATGCATTTTCATTTTCAAATCGCCCAGGAGGTCACTAAAGACAAAGAAGGAATTTTTCCCAAGTAGTGAATAAAGTAATATTGCATCTAGTAATTCAGTTTCCTGTTTCCTCTTAGAATTAAAAAGAAAATGTTCTTAAGATATCAATTCCTAGAAGCATATTGTAACTCTTTGTTAGCGCTCACATTTTAAACACCTTGAGCTTTATTTTGAAAGCTTCTTTAAAAATAGTTAAAAAATACTATTTAATACAGACTTTCTAACGCAAACTTTTCTTAAAGTACAAAACATGCCCTGGATTTCAAAAGCAAGCAGAACATTAAAGAATAATTAAAAATAAAATGTTTATAAGCAATAAGAAACTGGCGGGTATGTTTTAAAGGGGCTACATGCTCATCTATTTGATGCAGGACACACAAAGCTAACTAAAGGCTTGATGGGGGAACACTGGGGTCAGGCGGATTTTGTTCCTGGTTTCAGCAGAAGCCAGTTTTTACTAGTCTGCTATTAAGATGGTGTGTAGGACGTTATAGACCTGATTTTGAAAAAAGCTAAATGCCATTCAACTGAAGTAAATTTGGAGCTTGAATTGCTTAGCATCTTCAAAAAAACAGGTTTGTGGTGTTCAGTACTCTGCCCCAGAATTTTGGAAGAATGATTAATTTCACTAACACCGAATTAAGCTATGTTATGTGTTAGATAAGTACGTATTAACACATTGTTGGATTTTGGGTGTAGGGTATGCAATATCAGGCATCTAAGAAAAACAGAGGTATGTATTTATCCATTGTATTGCAGTCTCACCCAGCTTAAACCTCGGAAAAAAAGTCAGCACTCCCAGAGATATCATGGTAGAGGAACTGTCAACACTCAGCAACAGAGGTGCGAGACTCTTCAAGAGACGTCAGCGGAGATCTGACAAATACACATATGAAAATTACCATTATGTAGCAAACAAGCCAAGAAATGTGAGTATTTTGTAATAACTTATTAATGAAACACAGTGAGACTACTTTGGGGTTCCCTTGGTGCTCACGATACACATTGTGCATGATTTATTTGTAGTGTCAGGAAGAATAAAAGCAAAATCCTGTACTAGAATGAGGCTAACATGAAGTGAGCCATTTGTACTTTATCTAGCTCCTATAGACAAATAAAAAATCTGAAAGATTTAATATGCAAGGATACCAGATTCAAATAATTCTCATTGAAATCTGATTCAGGTTACCAGTGATCAGAGTTCTCATCCTGTAACAATTGGCTCACTGGCTACTGAAAATTAACTAGTTGACGTGAAAATTAACTAGTTAGTGATATTCGAAAGGTTGGAAGAAGTAAGGGTCTGTTTCATGCTACCAGTAAGTATTTTTATTAAAATAGGTTGGTGGTCTCAACATGATTCCCAGGCAGCAAAAGGATTCTCACAACTGGCACCAATACATTTCTGGCCTGCCTGTCTCAACAGGGAGAATAAGGATGCAGCTTGTCACCAAAAGACAATTATTCTTCGAACTAGTCCTTCAGGAACTGGGTTAAAGCATTAGTGATACCCTGCGAATCCTCAAGGCAGGAACTAAATGCATCTGGTGTTTGTCTCACCTGTGGCCTTTGCAAAATATTTAAAACCTTTTGCTTAACCTCTGAAAATAGGGACAATAACATTCATAAATTTTACCCAAGTCTCCAATGTACTGCAAGGTTTAATTATTTGAACTTGAATATTCTATGCCCAGTCTAATACAGCACGCAAGCAGCCCCTCTAATTCCAGTACTTTATTAAATCCTGCTTCTCAGTTACATGTATGCATCCCCTCTAATTTCAGATACAAAGAAGCAGACTAAAGAAGCAGAATTTGCCCCAGTACTTTTCAGCTGCTTTGAAGATGAAAAGAAATACATACTACAAAAGTTAGTTATTCTAGGAAATATTTCTTGCAGAACAGCAATTGTCTCTCCCTGAAGCTTTTACAACTAATCGTTGCATAGGTGGTCCTGTGATTGTGTTAGCATCCAATCACTACAGAGTACACAGAAAGACTTTGACTCAATTCTTTAATCTTCACATGGAATAAGAAAAATAGTAACTATATGCAATGTATTGTGATATAATCTAAAGTTTGTACCGGTACAAATAGGAAAATTAATTTATTAATCAGAACAGCAAAGCACCAAAGGGCTTACTAGTCTTATGTTAAATTTTACTAAAGAAAATATACACACATTTGTAAATTAATCACAAACAATAAAATGAACGCCATTTTTTTACTCTAAGGAAACTTCTTCTCTAGTTGCATCTCATAAGGAGGCTTTGGGGGCAGACAATAAAAGACGCATTTGCAATTTACCATTGTCCATGCTAACCAAAATGTTGAGGGATCTTACAAGAGTCAGAGAGGCTATTGGAGAAGAGTTCAATATTTCCAGTATCACAGCTGGAATCTCTGAAATATTTTTGTTCCCTTCTTAAAGAAGGATTTCTTTATGCTTTGTTGATTATAAAGGTAAATACATTTGTAATTCTGTGGCCTTTATGCTTCCCATACGAAAAATTAACTTTACTCTGGAAGAAAAGTATGTCTTAATATGCCATGTCAGAGAATAAAAATTTTTACATCTTTTTTTATGGTGCAGATATTTCAAACTTATTTGCTCACTCAGAAATGAAATTACACAGGGATCAAAAGGGATCATGTTTGAGTTTTGATAGATCTGCCTTTTAAAAATAAATCTGCACAAAAGAAATACCATATAAAAAAATCTGAATAACTCTACTGAACACCCAAAACTGTTAGAACACTATTATTTAGAAGCCCATGTACGAATACTGTCCCCTCAACTTCTCCCTCTATTGAATATTAGAAGCTACACAGATAAATTCTGAGCACACCATCAACCTTGTCAGAATTTCTGTATCCATTTCAATGCTTTTCTACAAAGTCTGACAGATCATTTCCCCTCAAGTCTACTTCTTCCCACAAAACCACAGAGTACACACGCTATACAGCCAGTATGACAGTCTGACACATGAAAAAATTATGCCTCTCTGGTTTCTGTTCCCTTCCCTTAAATGCCTATTTAGCCACCACTGGTGGTGTCTTCATCATCTTTATGATTCTGCCAGCCTAAATTAATCTTTCTAGCATACTTCAGAATGGCTAGAAAACGTACTGCCTTCCTCTTTTTTTATTTCATGTTTAAACAAGTATTATTTGTTTGCTTTCCCACTTTAAGAAACCCTTACTCTAAAATAGTCTATATTTAAATTGCTTTTAGCCTATGTGTCATAGCTAAAATAAGATACTGACTTCTTATGAGACTAATTCTATATTTATGCAACAACGATTACGCCTTTGGATATTTCCTTAGAACCCATGACCCGATAGGAGGGTAGAAAATGACAGCATATCATGAATCTCCAGAAAATGACCTGCACTGAAGTTGTTATTTCTATTACAAATAAAGGAAAAGGAAATCCCAAACAAAGGCAATTCAACAAATGCAGTTTAAACTTGCAACTGACACGGGAAGAGGCACTTCGAAGAATCAATGCTTTGAAATTCAAACAGCTCAAATTTGCCAGATTTCTTGAATTTTTGGGTAGCGAGGGTGCTCTGTGTGGCACATAACAGCTTCTAGCATGTTGCGATCCAAGGGATGCATTTTATGGGCCCCCTGCCAAAGCAACCAGATCTACTTTTTGCTGTGAACCACAGAGCCCATATACACAGGTAGATTTTTGTGGTGACTGCTGTAAGCAGCAGATGGGATGAACTCTCTTCAGAGACTGCATACCAATATTAATAACCCAAACTTAGGAAAAGGTCAGACAAAGCTGGATAGCTATAAGGCTTTAGGAGTCTTGTTAACCAAAGCTCACAATACTTCCAATCCTTTCAATAAAGCATTCTCACATTTGAAATACAGACATTTAGAATTGTGCTGGGATATCATTCCTAACACTGAAAAATTATTCATTTTTGCTTCCATAGCCAATGTAAGAGAGTTGTGAAACTGTTTCACCTTCTGGCTAACAGCCAGAAAATCCTGTGGAGTGCTATCTAGCAAACAGGGTTCCAAACAGCAGGACAGTATGCCTTCAGGTAGCATACCCTGGGTCTCATATCTGAGCTGTAAACTGGAGTATCATTCCAATCCTCAACAGAGAATCACAGAGGCTTTTTTTGCCTGTGCTGTCAGTGATACTTATTTCTGTTTGAACACAGCGCGGAGAGCCCATACAGAGTGTTAAAATGGACGGCCTCAGCGTGGAAGGAATTCCCCAGCATGCCCCAATGACACCTCCTAACACACCTGATCCCCGGAGCCCACCACATCCTGACAACATTGCCCCAGGTAATCTATGAGTTTACATACATTAAAGATATTTAGCTCTCATTTCACAGCAGAGGAAGGACCTCTTTATAAAAACAGTATTTTCCACTAGAATTTGTTACTGTACTCCCTATGAGAAATCGCTAAATTTGAGCAAGGTAACCAAACAGAATCTCCCACAGAAATGTAAAGTGGTGCTCTTCAGTTGCTTCTGTTCGTTTTTAAGGATTTGATATGCCTTTTGTACTAATTCTCCCCAAACTGAAAACATACGTTAACATCAAGAGAGATTGCTCCTATATTTACTGGTCTTACAAACATTGAGAAACAAATCCTCAGATTTAAAACCAGATTAACATACTGATTTTTCTTTGCCAAACCTTTGTTTCTAATGTGCAACACACTGCTCAACAGTCTGAAAGTTATCCATTGTAGTTTAATTACCGGTAAATGTAAATCTGAAGTCACTGTAAGTTTTGCTAGAAACCTTTACAGAGGAGTTGCTTAAAAAGGAATTTGCCTCTGGTTGCATAAACTGTTCTTTAAGTCCTTAACTGTGAGGGTACAGTTGTCTTTATTTAAAGCAGTGAGCTACAAGAAGGCCTTATTTTGTATTCTTTAAAGACTAGAGAAGGCTAATTTGTTTTGATTAATTTATTCAGTGATACAGCCCTTCTTCCTGTTTATGAATTATCCATGAGCAGACTGTGGTTTTTACAAATTCATTCTTTGTTCAGAATTGCTCAATGCATGTTTTGTGCAGACCTTTTCCAGTCTATGTAAACTAGGTCAATGCTACTCTGTTAGCGACTGTTAAGACTCTCTGCATCCACTGGTCAAATACAATGCAAACAGAGGTAATTTCCATTGCTAAGACATGATAGAAATCTTCAAGCCTTCTTTAGGCAAAAAAGTCTAGAAAAGGAGTAGATATTAAACCACAGGGGTTTTTTAAGCTTTTAAAAGAAGACAGCATCAATTTAAAGAGCTAGATGTACTGGGAGGGTAAAAGGGTAGAATAAATTTCACTTGTTTTTCAAATAAATAACTCGTATAATTGAATAATCCCTTGCTAGTTTTAATTCTTCAAATTGCACATTAAAGCCTGGCTTCCTTTCCTCCCCTTCATTTATTCCTGCCATATTGCACTCTACTTTAGAAGAAATCAAACTGAATATGGAATTTATTTATTTAGTAAAATTCTGATCAGAGCCTGATCCTCAGATGATTATGCAGAGAAAACAACTGATTCTTCACTTTTTCAGATGATGAAAAGGACCAGAGAACAAAGTAGGTAGGACATTTTAAAGCATCTAAGGCAGAGGCAAAGACAAAAACTCCACTATAATGACTGTGATCCTAACTCATTTTAATACTTTCGGAAAATTGCAACCAAAGACTATGGAATTATCTTAGTTTTAACCAAAAGGTTGTTTTAAAAATCTTTTTGTTAATTCAGCCCATTGTCTGTGTAGCCATATCCTGGTTTCAAACAAATGCTTATAATGATAGAAAAAGATTATATAAACTAAAATAAACTTAGCCTCAAAAGAGGAATACTTCGGAGCAGTCATCTAAAAGGCAACAAATTCCCCCTGCCAGCTTCTATTTCTGTGTAGCTTTGGCCAGGTGACTTGATCCAATTGTTCATTTTACCTAACTGTGAAATGATAGCATGTTCCCTCCTAGTTACATAGGATGGTAGTAAGGAAGCAGAAAACACGAAGTATTATTATAATGGTTTTGCCTTGATCACCTTGCAGGATATTCTGGACCACTGAAAGAAATTCCTCCTGAAAAGTTCAACACTACTTCTGTGCCAAAGTATTATCAGTCTCCCTGGATAGAAGCCATTAGGGATGATCCAGAGCTGCTGGAAGCTTTATATCCTAAACTTTTTAAACCTGAAGCAAAGCCAGAACTGCCTGACTACAGGAGCTTTAACAGGTAATTGTGAATGGACACTGAAATTTACAGTGCCAAGAAAAATTACTGTGAAATGAAACATTTCCACCAGCTGTAAAAAAACCCTACCATGTGTATGCAAGTATATGCATAAACATAAACATGCACACAGATTAAAAGTGGCAAACAAGCATTAAGGAGGAAAGTAGTTTCTAAAGCATGGACCCAAAATTAAATTGTAGAACCAGGAATGTAAGATGAATTGGTGAAAATACTGAAAGAAAGAAGGAAAGAATCAGAATCCAGTGTACTCAACAAATGGGAAACACTGGTTATAGCAATGCTTCAAACTCCTTTCAGTATTTCTGTTGTTGTTTTCAGTTGGTATGGGATCTTAAGATCTATCAGGGAAACTCCCAGGCAAAACTTTGTTTGTGAGCTGCGTAATGCAAACGACACTTTTTTTTTAATACAACTCACATGGCTTGTTTTTAGGCAATGATAGTACAATGAACTTCATCCCTCAACCAATCCCTCACACCAAATAGTTCGCAGATTGCATATTTTGTTGCATTTAACATTTTGTATATCCGACAACCTTCAGTAACAAATTAACAGATAAAGCATTAAAAGCAGACGTAAATATTTAAAATAGCGCTGGATCTGAGAGTGAAGTTATCAGATAGTAATGAGTACACTAAGGCTTTCAGCAGAACTTCTAGATTTAAGGATAATATTGGGGTTTGAACTATTTTGAAAGTTTTAAAACACATTCTTACTTATGTCTTTTGCTTTCATTCATACCATTCACACTATCTTTATTCATTGAAGTTATGGACAATTTTTCCCTAAATAACACCTGCTGACTTCCAGGCAGCTGAGGCAAACCAAAACCCTTCTTCAAAATACCAGACAGCAATCTTTTGAAAAAGAAAATGGCTCATGGCAATAAAAACTGAGAAAAATACCACAAGCATCACTTGTGTTCCTGCCTGAGGTGGGCCCCAACTACAAGTGCAAGGACTAAAAAATTACACAACACAACAACAAAATTGGCACTGCAGACACTACACTAAATCTAACAGCAATATACATTGCCATGTTAATAATTAAGTCTCTGTGGCATACTCTTCTCAGCAGACAAAATAGCAAATACAAGTCAGAGATGTGCCACAGCTGCTAACATTGGAACAGTAACAGCACAGTTTATGTACTATGGTTACTATAACTGGGGGAAAAAAAAGCCCAACAAAAATACACCAAAAATTATACATATACATGGAATAGAGACAGAATCAGTTCTCCCTCTCACAAGAGAGATTCTGAATCCAGCATCCAAGTCGTTACTGTGAAAGGCAGGATCAGACAGGGCACAGAGGCCCCATTAATAGGTTTATGTGTCTTGAGATGGTATCTGCTGGCTGCTTTGTGGATTTTTAGCTGCTCTGTGGTCCCATATTCTGTTAGTTGTCCTCTTCATAACACAAACCATTTGGATTTCTTTCTGAGGATTTTCTCTATGTACAACATAGGAGAACTATGACTCACCACAGTCCAAATTTCTTTAGCATACGTGCATTCATTTAAGGGAAAGGTCAATATTCTCCCTTGTAACTGCCATAAAAACCTAAAGCCTGGCACATAAACCCAGATCCTTACTGTGACGTTGGTAAATGCAAAACATAAGGCATACAAATATAATCCACCATAACTGTCCTTCTCATGGAAAATATCCACATCCAGAAGAAAAAAGGATGCCTGATAGACCTAGAAAAGCTGTTACATACAGTACACTCAGATGTTTTCTAGCAAGGAGGAGTAGATCCAAAAAGAAACTGAGAATTTGCAAAATTGAAATTCAAGGTACTAGCCTCTTGGAGAGGATTTTACAGCCATGACTTAGGTGTCTACACTCCTAAAAATGCACAAGAGTGGGGTGTCTGACTATGGGATTCAAAACAGACAGCACACTGCATGCCAAGCTAACCAACAGCAAAACATTACAGAGTGCTAACTGTGACTTAAATTTCTCTTTGCTAAGGCCATCAGCACCTAAATCTGTCTGCCTATCTTCAGGTCAGGGCTAGATTAAGGTCTTCCTTTCCAAAAACAGAGCAGGGGTCATGTATTCTTTTAAAGTTTGTATAGACAAGAAGGTTCATTTCTTTGCAAAGAGCATTTTCCTAGAATATGGCCAGCCTGGATTTATTTCTACAGGGATGTTAAACCCTGAGGAAGGGTGTAACAATCTTGTTTCTGGTTCTTCCATGGAAGAGGTGGGAACACTCTTCACTTCCCTTCTTAAGAACTGTAGTACGGAAAATAATAAACCTATCTGGGCTAAAGGGAGTAAACATCTTTCTCTAGCTGAACAATTAAGAAACTCACTTGGGAAAAGAGAAACCTGGGCCTACATCTGAATTCCCAGATCTTTCAATGCACATTTTTAATTACTGCTTACAGTAAATTAAACAGATTTAGGAGCAGAAAACAGGACCTACACTGCCCTGCTGTTAGCTGTGTGTCCTGATGTCTAGGCTAAGAGTCCTACCTACTCCATCTAATTGCTGGAATAATCTACGTGAGCAGTTAGATCTACTCTTATGAAGAGACATCCTCAGACTGAACAAAATCCAAATCTCTTGCAGAACAACTCTGGTCAAAGACATACTATCACTCGACACAGGGGTTCAACACTAACAGCCATGGATTTTGTGTGAAAGTGCCATCTTGCTCAAAGCTTGCTGCAGTAGCATATTATGTGTGTTTTCAAGCATGGAATTTAGGCAAAAGATTATTAATCGCAGATGAGCTTTGGTGTAAGAGAGGCGCAGCTGCCAGTATAGCTAAGATAAAGGCAGATCTGAGCATTTATATAAGGAAAACATTAGGCATCTCCAGAATTTAGCAGCCTATGGGCTTTGTGCATAAGGTGAGACATCTCTTTGGACTTCTGTGTATAGATCCTACTAAGTCATTCTGTGCATCTAGGTCACAGCATCCTTGACTTCTGTAATTGCAGTCTTGGAGAGAAAGCAAATGATACTGTATTAAACAATTCAAGTGCAATATAATGGCACCATTTTGTTATCAGTGAGGGTATCAATCAAAGCTTTCTATCATGCTTCATCATTCAGTAAAGTGCCATTATGTTTGTTCTCCTGCACAACACTGGTACAGTCATCATTAGTCAGGAGGGGGTGTGGTTAACAGTAAGCGTGATGCATAGGACTCCCAAGGGAATCAGGCCTGAGACTCTTAGCAGCTCATTCAGTGGTATCTGTTAAAATGGCACTCAGACTTTACAGGCCATATTCAGGTTCCTTTTAGTTTTCCTTGTTACACAACAAACTGTAAAAGCAGCACAACTTTAGCTAGGGACCTCCAATGTGTTAGAACAGACACACACATGCATGGTTTAAAAGTATATTCAGTACTAAATGTTCAGATTTTTTTTTTCCACAGCCAGCAACGAAGAGGCAACTCCAGACCCTGTAGCAGTGCAATTTTTATAATAGCAGCACCATCAGAACTAAGGAATTCATAGAGGTATTAGTTGGGGTCTAGTACTCATTTGATGCTGCAGGGATCTTGCAATGCTGGCAGGTCAATGAAGGAAGAAGCAGTGGCAGAAAATGTCAAGCATATTTGCCTTCTAAGGCAGGGCTTTCCATGAGACAGCCAGGAATGGTTTAATAGCACATCGCACTAGACCGTGCATGATGAGAGAAACTGAGTTCTGAGGAACTCTTAATAGACTGTTCAGACCAGGCTACACTTCCTCCTTCTGGATTAACATGTAATCTGTGCTAGCAGAGAAATGCTGCAGAACAGAGCCATGCCATCTTATTTCTTTTGGAGATTAATTCCTATTAGGATTGAAGAACTATTTAAATGGTGAAAAATCTTCTCGCCTCCTTTACCAGTCTGGAAGCACCCAGTAATCTTCTGTGGGAAAGACAGCATGAATCTACATTTGTTCAGGAATTTGTAATACTAGTTAAATTAGTACCTTTATTCCATCTGCTTTCTTGGAGCTGGATAAAATGTCAAAGGTAGGGTTATGAGTAACATACAAAGCACTACATCCTACTCACATAAGACAAGCAAGTCTGACTAGTTCTGCCTCTCCTACCAGATAAATTCTTGCTCAGCTTTCTCAATTCCCAAAGACTACTGTTTCAAAAACACTATAGGAATCCAGTCCATCTGGACTGGGCTCTGTTTTTATTGATTAATGGATTCTGAACTCTATTGTAAAAACACTGAGATCCACAGCCTCACAGGAATTTTGGGTGCTAATTTGAAGTGATGTGAGATTAGTAGAAGCTGGGTGCTTAGCCAGGTCCTTAGCACCTAAATACCTCTGTGAAATTGGCATAAGCTTTTGCACTAAGCTACAGTGAAACTCTGAGCATTTCACAGGGTCAGGTTCTTTGCTCCTATGTCTCCTTTTTGCACAGAATTAACATTAAGCAGAATGTTCTAAGAACAACAGTCCCATTTTAAAATGTGAAACTCATTTTCTGTAATTATCTAACTGAAGGTGCCAGTCCAGTACAGTTAAAGCATTTCTTTGGACTTTCCCAAATAACCAACTACAAGTAGTCTCGTATGTTGAGACAACATAATGCTCAGTAAGAAAAACAGCAGGAAAAAAAGAAAAAAAGAAGCCCTGCTAAAACAACAGCTAAAAATAAATGTGGTTGTGCCTGCTATTGTTAAATCATGCGCTTACTTTTTAGGAATATGCAAAGTGAATATTAATCAGTTCTTACACTTCCTGGTGCAACTTCCTATGGCTCTGAACCAGCATTTCCACCCTCATTATGAGCAATGACTGCCGGAATTTTTTTAGACATGAGTTTTAGGCTTCTAGACAATGAATCAGAGCTCAAGTGATACAGTTGACGTGGACACAACACAGGTCATTACAACACCATGTTGTCAGACAAGTTATTGCTCACAAAAATATACTGCTGTTGTAAAGGAAAATTAACATCTATTAGCCAATTACTGTACTCTCCTTTATGTCAATCATCATGTGCTTCTGCCTAGCATGCCAGAATGCATAATTCTGAGAACAGACTTTGTGTAGTAACTACATGGGGTTTTTTTCCCCCCAAAAAGATACTTGAATTTCCACAGAACGCCCTCTTGTTTCTATTACCTACAGAACGATGATGTATTTTAAAATCTCAAAAATACTACAAAGAGGAAGTTTTACACTATAGCATTGTTTTGCATTTTATACAGCTATTATTGTTCTGTTCATATTGATTATCCCTTTAATTTACCTATTGTTGCGAATTAAATATTACAACAATGTGAGAATGTGTATCCTAATTAGAGTAGCAATTAAAACAGTCTTTATTACCCTGTAAGATGTAGATCACTACATTCACTCTGTGCCAATTACCAAGCAATTATTTTTAATCAGTATCACACGGTATCCAATTTGACATTGTGACCTAGATGACAGTTTCACAAGAAAAGCTTGATACCACTGGCACTTTGTATAAAGAATTTCCTTTGACCTCAAGAGAGTTTAATACCTGGACTAGCTGCTGCTGCAAAATCTTGTCTTATCTTCACTTGAGAAACAGTTTTAGAGCTTAATCCAATGCAGTGCTCTTCTTTTAGTAAGTGTGCACACCCAGGACTTTCATGATTTTTTTGCATCTTAAAAGACTGATCCCTAGTGTTGCTGAACAACCTAGTCAGATCTTCAAATGTTCTCTTTTTGTTTCTGTTGGTATTAATTTCTCTGGGCTTCTGCTATAGTACCTGGAGCCACTGGAAATAGATACCAGCAGATCTGTTGTTTTGTATCAAACACACAAAACCTACCAAGGCTGGTAAAATTCCATTTCAACAAAAATTCATTTTTTGCATGCCACTACATATCTAGCTTTGCAGAAATCAGGTGCTCATGTGTGGCTTAAAAATCTGACTCTCTTAACTGGCCAGAATATATCTCAACAAAGTTATGCAGCTGATGAAAATGCAAAGCATGTATAATAGTCTGTTTGGTCACATTTGCTTATACAAAGGAGTCTGGAAAAAGTGACAGAAAAACTCCAGGGTTTTTTTCAGCCTAAAATAGAAGAATCATGGGAGGTATTTGGAAATACTGTTGGTTTTAAAATATTTGCAAATGTATGTAACCATCAGTTCCTGTTTAGTATTTCTTATCTTTTAGTTTCTCAGAGTTATCACCTGAGGGAACACTCACATTTAAATAACATGAAAAATGCTGGCTGAAGACTAGGGGCCAATTTGAGTCAGTGTTTCAAGGTTTAGTTACATAAACATTTTCTTCAGAAACATAGCTGGTCTAATAAGTCCTCACCCATTCCCCTCCTTTCCAGAGCCTGTTGTCTTTGGCTGTTCCTTTTTGCTTCACATTATGCTTACTGCCTCCTCACTTGTATTGCTACAATTGTTTGAGCACAATTATATAAACCAGATTGCTGAAATAATTTGGATTTTAAAATGCTCTTTTGTTTGAAGGGTCTTTGTTTAACCCAGAAGTGACCTAAGTTTATAGCACAACCCACATACATTCTAACTGGTACAACAATATGGTGCTGAAATATAGTGTAGTGGGAGGAACAAGCAACTGGGGACAGGAGAAAATGGGGTGAGAACTTCCTAAACCTGCTAGAGAGAATGTGCTGAACTATGTTTTCAGGTTTAACAACTTATCCAATGAAAGAAGTTTAGTAACTGTGACTCACCAATGACAAGGTTTTCTTGCAACATCTTTTCCCTCAGCTTTTCTATCCATTGGAATCTTGAAGAAGGCTGTAGCCTTTATCTAAGGGAAAATAAAACAGATCTTGAAGAGATTTTGCCAGAAAAACAATCAGAATACTTTTCCCAAAAGCTCAAAAATGTAAACAAGAAATTGTACCAAATTTGTGTCATTAAAATAGCTTCTGTTCTTTTCAGTTCCTGGGAGGAAAAGAAAACAGGTATTTTTAAAATCGTATTTTACTTTTATTTCTCTAATATCTACAGAGTTGCCACTCCCTTTGGTGGTTTTGAGAGAGCATCAAAGCTGGTTAAATTCAAGGTACCAGATTTTAATCTACTGATGCTAAATGATCCCAGATTCATGATCCTTGCAAACCCTCTTGCTACCAGAAGATCCTTCAATAGGACTCCTAAAGGATGGACATCCGAGAATATTCCTGTAGTGTTCATTCAGCCTTCGGATTCCAACACTGTTCCAGAAACAGAGGACCTGTGATAGAAGCTGCACTCTACATCATACAAAATGCTGAAAGCTGCACATCCATGTATTTTTGGTCCAAATATTACTGTAGGCTACTGGCAACATTTTTCCTTGGCAGCTCGAGTATAAGTAATAATGTCTGATGCAGTGTCTCTTTTCTGGGACCTAGTTTCATCTGTGGACATAATATAAATAAAGTAATTTGGCAAACATGACTGAGAGATTTTCTACTTCTGTTTACGTGTTCTTCTTTTACTTCACCAAAAACTACAGTATTTCTAAAATCTTTGCTTGTTATTTAAGAACAAGTGTATTAAGGGAAAAAAAAGTGACACTACTATCAAGGAATTTGATTTGATAGGTGTGCTGACTATGGTAAAACAACCAAGTGATACCACAATGGGACACTCAGTGCACTCCAAATACCACCTGCTCAAGATAAGCCCTGACTAATCAACCTTTTTTCCCCAACCCTGCCTTCAGCCAAAGTTAAGAATTTTGCCATTACTTCAGTGAGAGCAAGTTTAGGCTTCAATTATGGACACCTGGATTTGTTTACAGACACTGCAATAAACTTGACAATGTCATAGTGATATGAAAAATCCTGGATGAGTCTACAATGTTGGTATTAATCACAGATAAAAACCCCACCAATGACTGGTTATGTCAAACATCACCAAATTAATATCACTGAGCTATGTTACAATGCTTTTCCTACTAGAAAGGAATTTCATACACCTTTTTCCCTTACAGCCGTAGTATATACTGGACTTAAAAGCATGCGAGTTTTCTTGCTCTTGACACGCTAGCAAGCTCTGACATTTTAGAAACACAAGTATCACACTCTTAACCATCTACAACTACACAGGCAGCAGACAAAATCCAGTAGGAGGGTGTTGGTTTTCAGTGTCATTTTTCAGGTTACAACTACATTCTAGTAAGAGGCAACCATCAGTTTAATAATTGCTTGTTTCTAAATGCTTTTTTGTTTGAGAAGTATCCAACATCTGCAGGTTAGATATTCTAGTACACAGTTTAGTTTGTTTGTATTTTGAAACAGGACACTTTGCTTCAACCAATAGGCCCCTCTCATATATCCTAGATGCTTCTCCAGGGCATTATGTTCTCTTAAGTGTGCATGCAACACCCAAGAGGTTTCTGGGTATCTCAGATACTAATTTTTTTCTTTAAATCAGAGTATTCATAACATTTTGCAAGCTCTATGGTAACATGTTAAGTAAATTTCATCTCAAAATAAAACCCACAGAAAATGATGATGGTAAGCAAGTAAATAAGGTTTTTCCAGATACTTTCCTTATTAATGGTTTTGGTGGCATTGAGCTACAAAAGTGGGTACTTCAGAAAGAATCTCAACATCTCAAGAAAAGAACGATAGAATGAGATTTAAAGTGGAAAGATAAACAAAAAGCTTTGCCTATATTTTTGTGGCTGAAATTTGTGTCTGTAAAAATGTTTTCCAAATCTGTTTTCAAGGCAGGTGGTTGGCAAAGGAAATTGTCATCTATTTTCTTTAACTTTGTCACACAAACTGCACAAGCAAATATACAGGCTCTGAACAAATTTATGAAACAAACAGAAAAAAAAAAATCAACCTTATTGACCAAGAACACTTCCCTAGCAAGGGACTAGTTTGGGGACCTTAACTGTGCACATTGTACAACAATTATATGGACAATGACAAAAATATGAATTCTTGAAGGCTAAAAACGCAAAGGCTGAAGAAAAAAACTAAAGTGAGGAACAATGCAAACAAAGAGGCATTTGTTTTTTATGAGCCAGCATAAGCATTCGTAAGCCTATTTGAAAAGAAATGTGACAAAATCAGTGCACAGCATATACACAGTGAGGACTGTGAGGCAGGGGTACATCATTTTTATTGTATACTCTGTAAAAATAACCTATACATGCAAAGCATGCTACCTTGCTTCTTACACAACACACATAGTGGCAACTTTAGTTTCCTATGGATCCACAAGCACAGAATGGGCTCAGGAGGCTTAAGATGTTTGAGAATTACTGAGCTTGCCATGCATGTGTTCAGTTGATGGTCCAGATAACAACATTAGATGTACCTGGAAATTACCAACAGTCCTTACGTCCTCAAATTCTGTGTGAAGCTTCTGAAATGAGCTGTGTCACAGCAAAACTGGTAGTTCTAATTCAACACTCAGCTACAGTCATCAACTACAGCAGAACTCCTCTGTACCTCGTGCTTTCCTAGCTCGACTACCATAGACCTGCAGATACAGGTAAATCAGGTGTGCCTAGATTGGTCTTTTTAAAACTGATGCCAGCTGTCAGAAAAGTTTGCAGCCATACTACTTGATCTTCCCATACTGGCTGGATTTTGGCAAATTGCCTACTGGGAACAGGCCCTTGACCATGCTAAACTCTTGAACCATGCTCAGTAACTGTTTGGGAGAGTGTTAATTGGCAGAAGGTAGGACTGCGCAATGTGCTAAGTATTCAACAGCACAGAGGATCAGTGCCAGTGTCCAGGAATGTTCCCTGGCTGCATCAGCCTAGATGTAGCCTTATTGTGTAAGTCCCACTGCAATAAACAACACTCTCTGCCAAAAAACAATTCCTTCGCCACAAAGGAAGATCTCTTGTTAAGGTTGGGAATTCAGAGTTTCTCCAACTTCAATGGGTTTTAGCACCTGCATTTTTGTCAGACATTTATATGGCACTTGAAATGTATCCTTTAACCAGAGGAAAGACTGGCTTTGGGTAACTAATGACAAATAACTTCAGAGAT